TCCTGTTCCTTATTCTTGATCTTAGGTGAAAAGTATGTAGTTTCTACCCATTAATTATGACGTTGGCTGTAAGTTTTTTTGTTTTTTGTTTTTGGTGAGGAAGATCAGCCTTGAGCTAACATCCAATGCCAATCCTCCTCTTTTTGCTGAGGAAGACTGGCCCTGGGCTAACATCCGTGTCCATCTTCCTCTACTTTACGTGGGACACCGCCACAGCATGGCTTGACAAGCGGTGCATCGGTGCACACCCGGGATCCGAACCGGCAAACCTCTGGCTGCTGCAGCGGAGCACACACACTTAACTGCTGCACCACTGGGCTGGCCCCGGCTGTAAGTTTTTGTACATGTTCTCTATCAAGTTGAGGAAGCTCCCCTCTATTCCTAGTTTGCTGAAGCTTTTTATCATGAATGGATGTTGGATTTTGTCTAATGCTTTTTCTACATCTGATGTTATTATATAATTTTTCTTCTTTAGCCTATTGATGTGATGGATTACATTCATTGATTTCCAAATGTTGAACTGGCCTTGCATACCTGGAAAGAATTTCACTTTGTCACGATATATAATTCTCTTTATAAACTGTTGGATTCAAGTTGCTAATATTTCATTGAGGATTTTGGCAGCTATGTCCATGAGAGAAATTAGTCTGTAGTTTTCCTTTCTTGTAATGCCTTTGTCTGGTTTTTGTGTTAGGGTAATGCTGGCCTCATAGAATGAGTGATGAAGTGTTCCCTCTGCTTCTGTTTTCTGGAAGAGATTGTAGAGAATTGGCATAATTTCTTCCATAAATGTTTTGTAGACTTCACCAGTGAAACCATCTGTGCCTGGTGCTTTCTGTTTTGGAAGGTTATTAATTATTCATAGTTTCTTTAATTAATACAGGCCTATTCAGATTACTTTTCCTTGAGTTAGTTTTGGTAGATTGTGTCTTTCAGGAATTGGTCCATTTCATCTAGGTTATCAAATTTATGGGCATAGAGTTATTCACAATATTCCTTTATTATCCTTTTAATGTTCATAGGATTCACAGTGATGGCCCCTTTATCATTTCTGATAGTATTAATTTGTGCCTTCTATCTTCTATTGTTGATTAGTCTGGCTAGGGGATTATCAATTGTGTTGATCTTTTCAAAGAAACAGCTGTTGATTTTGTTGATTTTCTCTATTGATTCCCTGTTTTTAATTTCATTGATTTCTACTCTAATTTTTATTATGTCTTTTCTTTTGTTTACCTTGGATTTAATTACATCTTCTTTTGTAGATCTTAAGATGGCAACTTAAGATTATTGATTTTAGATCTTTCTTCTTCTTCTTCTTTTTTTCTTAGTGAGGAAGATTGGCCCTGAGCTAACATCTGTTGCCAATCCTCCTCTTTTTGCTTGAGGAAGATTGTCATTGAGCTAACATCTATGCCAATCTTCCTCTGTTTTGTGTGTGGGATGCTGCCACAGCGTAGCTTGATGAGCGGTGTGTAGGTCCACGCCTGGGATCCGAACCTGTGAACCCCAGGCCGCTGAAGTGGAGCACATGGACTTAACCATGATTCCACTGGGCCAGCCCTCTTCTTTTTTAATATATGCATCCAATGCTATAAATTTCCCTCTAAGCATTGCTTTCATTGCATCCCACAAATTTTGATAAGTTGTATTTTCATTTTCATTTAGTTCAAAATATTTTTAAATTTCTCAAGTCTCCTTCTTTCACCCATTTATTATTTAGAAGTGTGTTGTTAAATCTCCAAATATTTTGGGATTTTTCCAGCTATCTCTTATTAATTTCTAGTTTAATTTCATTGTGATCTGAGAACATACTTTGTATGATTTCTATTCTTTTCAATTTGCATGGCCCAGATGTAGTCTGCTTTGGTGATGTTTCATGTGAGCTTGAGAAGAACATGTATTCTGCTGTTGTTGGGTGAAATAGTCTATAAATGTTCAGTGAAGTGTTGGAATTGAAAGTCAAACTAGAGTGGGCTCAAGAGAGAATGGAAAGAGGACGAAACCCACTGTGCCAAACAAGATTAATGAAAAGCATTGTTTTTATTAGCTTTACAATATTCCACCATATTTATTCAACCATTTAGGTTGTTTCTAATTTTTTCAGTATTATAATGTTATGTTTTTCCTTGTACATAGAAGATAAATTACTGGGTCAAAGAGTAATAATTTTTTAAAACATTCTTGTCACAGTAGATAGATGCTATCATTCCTCTTTTGCCAAGCCGAACATTTAGACACACACCTGCTCATGTAATACATCTAAAATGACATCTTGTTCTTTCAACTTGTAATTCCTACGTTACTAGTAAGGCTGAACATTCTTTCATACTTCTTTTAGTCATTTATGTGTCCTTATCTAAAAATTATCTGTTCATGTCTTGTTATTGGAACATCCCCTCACTGCCTCCTTCCTCCCCTGCTGCCCCCTTCCTCCCCTATCTCATCCTTCGGGTCTCAGTTTAAATGCCACTTCCCCAGAGTCTTCTCTGGGAAATCCACCTGTAACACTCTCGTAGAATACTTTTCCTTCCTAGCACTTGTCAAAGTGTGTAGCTGCACACATATTTTTGAGATTTACTGAATTTCTGCCCCCGCCCCCACCCCCACCCCAGGAAACTCCATGGGTGTGTTGCTCCCCTTTACAACCCAGGGCCTGGCGCCCGTCTTTAGGGGATGTGTGCCTTCGATTTGTAGTTGGTGTTGGAATCAGATCTTTGGTACTTCCTATCTTCTAACTGGAAACCCATTTGTTGTTGTGTTGACTTTTTTCCATTAACTGTTTGTCGGGTTCCTTATTGGGCACTTACTCGAGGCAGACAACCCTGGGTGTGTGGGCCCTGTGCTCCCAGGCAGGAGCAAAGGGCCCTCTCCTCCAGCCCCTCCAGGGTCTGGGGGTCAGATGCCAGGAAGTCGACTGGCCCACGAACTGCCCTCTGGGGACACTAGGTGGCAACGACCCTGACCCTGACAGGGAGCACTTGGGCTCTCGTGCACACTGCAGCCTGGGGCATGGAGGGCACCTCTGGGGTGTGGCAAGGCGGTTTGGGTCATGGGAGTGTCACCCACCCACATGCCCTGGGGACTGTGTAGCCCAACCGTTGGGCAGGAAACAGGACCATTTCACCCCAAGGACCCCACCCTCTCCAGTCACTGCGAGGCAGCAGTTCAACCTTTACATTTTCTAGGTCTGCAGGCGGCTCCTCTGCGCGATAACCAGGTGGACCTGGGCCAGACTTCTAGAAGATTTTGCAAGAGAAGAACGCTTTTGGGAGCCAGTTTTATCCCTGGTTTTAAAGGGTACCAGTGGCTTGAAATACAGTCGATAAAGGAGAGTTTTTCTGTGGCCATTAAGTGTTTTGTTTTGTTTTGTTTTTAATTAGGACTCAGGACTGAATTGTATCTACACTGTCCTCCTTTCAGTATGCTTTGTACCAAAACAAAGCTTAGAACTACATGTTTAAAAAATAACAAATCATTGCAATAGGCAGAAAAAAAGAAATAAAACTAGTATTTGTAAAGGGTATAATTTTTAACCACAAATTATAACAGAACTGAGAAATTATTGAAAATTAAGAACATTCAGTGAGGTGGCTAGTTTCACAAATATATAGTTAAAAATAACTTTCCTATGTAAGAGCAATAACCAACTAGAAAAATATAATGAAAAAAAACTATTTACAATAACAATTGTGTAGAACTTACATGAAGAAAATCAGAAAAATTAACTCAGGAATATAATACTCTAATAAATGGAAAGGCATGTTTCTGGATGGGAAACAATTTTTCTTTTTTTTTTTTTGTGAGGAAGATTGGCCTTGAGCTAACATCTTTCCTCTATTTTGTATGTGGGTCACCGCCACAGCATGGCTTGATGAGTGATGTAGGTCCTCGCCTGGGATCTGAACCTGCAAACCCCCAGCTGCTGAAGTGAAGCACGTGAACTTAACCACTACGCCACTGGGCTGGCCCCAGGAAACAAAATTTTTAAAGTCAACAATTTTTCCCAAATAGTTTACAGGATTAACCTATTCCAATCAAAATACCCATGTAAAACGTTGGGCACCCTAAAAAGAGCAAAACTGACCAAGAATCCTTAAACTCACACACCACAGGATTGGTCCCATGAAGGCACCACTGGCCTTGCCTCTGGGCAGACAAGGAAGGAAAGTCTGGATATCTGGAAGCCAAAGAGAACAAATATCCACTACAGTGGACACTGGAATCCTGTCTCTTGAGGGGCAATGTGAGCTAGCCACTGGAAACATAGCTTCTAAAAATAAAACACTCTGCTTGTGAGGTAGTGACCACCCATTGCCAAAGGTCTGATGACTGCTTGAGGAAAATTACACATTTGGTAAGGTTATTGACCAGGTATGGAGCCAAGCCAACCTCTTCCTCCTCCTCTTCAGTCTCCTGGAGTTTCCTTCCTAGCAGGTTTTCTTGGCTCAGTAGAGGGCCAAGATTCTTAAGAGCTTTTCTAGTAGTGGGGCTGGGTGGCCAGGCCTGAGCAATCCAAACTTCTTTCAGCAAGGAAAAGGCATGAGAGAGTTGTTTGAGCAATTAATAGCTGAACAAAATACAGTAAGAAGAGTAGGCATTTTTAAATTACGTTGTGAAAAGGATTTCTGTAAAACAGTCACTTTTCACCACAAATTGCAAATGTTATTGAAATTGATCGTTAGTTTAGATCGCATACAAATGACAGAGTAAGTCTTTGACATTCAATTGCTGTATTTTCCTATATTCCAAAGTAAACAATCGCTTTCAACACTCAAGCTTTACCAGGATGTTCTTAGAAGGTTATATGAATTGCTAATAGAAGCTGTTGGCTTAACATATCAGTAGTTTGGTTCTTTCAGGGGAACCAAGTTCCAGATAAGGACTTTTGCATTATTTCTCTTCTCAAGTGTAAACTCCTATGTGGGGGAAAAAATGGACATACTTTCGATACACAAGTCACGCTGTTCACCTTGCAGGTAAGCAGCCTCCACACTCATATTTAAAGCCTTTCTCAGGAAAGGGATCTGTGACCTGTACACTGTTGTCTAAGTTCACATAAGAGAGCTCCTTATTACAAAAAGCCTGGATGCTAACTGAGGTATAGCCCTTGAGGATGTTTTCTTCCCTGTGAATTTTCTAAAAATTTGAGGTTTAAGCCAAGATGGGCATTTATCCAATTTTGGCTATAATGAGGTTTTCACATATCTGTATCTTTTCAGACAGCCTGGGAATTCAGAATTCCTTACAAAACACTTCAGGTTGAGGCAGGACCATCACAACTTTCCCGATCACACTTCTGCTTTCGGGTCTTACATGCTGAGTGGGTTTTTTCATGCCGGGTACAGTTTGACAGCCGACCAAATCTTCTCCCACATTTTTTGCAACAATATGGCCTCTCAGCCTCATGACTCTGCAGATGAAGCACAAATTCTTCATTCCCTGGGAAGGTTTTCCCACATTCTGGACACTTAAATATCTTTTCCCTTATATGGATTCCTTCATGGCGACTCCGATGAGAATTTTGACGAAAGTTTTTCCCACACTGAGAACATGAATAAGGTTTCTCTCCTGTATGTATTCGCTCATGTTTATTAAGGTTTGTTTTATGATTGAAGCTTTTCCCACAGTGACTACAGTCATAGGGTTTTTCTCCAGTGTGAGTCCTCTGGTGGGAAATAAGGTAAGAACTTTCATTAAACTGTTTCCCACACAGTGGACAAGTGTACCATCTTCTTGTTCTCCGATTTCGGGTAAGTGCGATAACATTGATATCCACGTATTTTGAGAGTTCCTCTAGTGGAGTATCATTTTCAATGGTAACTAAAAGATTTCTCATTTTCCTTTCCTTTGGAATGGATGGATTTAGTCTTTCTTCTTTATGGCAATTGGGAAGTTGCTCAGAGACCATGGAACAATCCATTTTATCACAATCTGAAGATTCTTCTCTATGATCTTCATTCTCTACAGGTTCCTTCTGAAGATCTTCACCCTCAGGATTACTGTCATTGACTGCTGAAACAGAGAATTTAATAACTTTTGAGGGATATGACACCAGGTGGGGAAAAAAAAATCAGATTTCTCATGAAACAATAAACTTGAAAGTCAGAAATCTGAACACTGGCAGAAAATCGCCATCAACACTCCTCTTCCACTCTTATTGAGGGTGGGATACATAACTGATAAATCTTTCGATACCACACAATGCAAGCACACAGTCTTCTTTTGACTTTTTAAAAAAATGAAATGAGTGGGACTGAAAGACTTCATATGTTTTTTTTCTGAATAGGCACCAATTATCCCTCACCAAGTTCATATTGACCTTATACTATGTGTAGAGCACCGAGCTAAGGACTAGGGGTTGCAGGACATAAATACTAAACGGTACCAAGGGTACCACTCGTAATCTTTAGGAGGCCAGTACGTGAACGGTAAGATGAGTTACTTCCAGGTTTTCACTACATTAAATATTACAGTCTTATAGCATTAGATTAATATTATAATATCCTATATAGTGAAAAACTGGAAGCAATTCAAATGACCAAAAATAAAGAGGGCATAGCATATTCACACAATGGATTACTATCTGGGCATTAAAGTGATTACTACAACCGATAAAATGAAACTATGGTAGAAGTCAATAGTGGTCTTTTTGGGGGAGGAAGAGTAGTGACTGAGCAGAGGGCACAAGAGGGATTTCTGGGGTGCTAGGAATAGTCAATTTGGGGCGGCGGTTAGACAAATGTGTATATTTTGTGAAAAGTTGAGCCCTACACTTATGATTTATAGACTTTTCTGTATTTATATTATACTTCCAAAAACAGTCTGTAAAATAAGATTATAAAAACTAGGTAACAAAGTGAGAAAAAAAGTATGCTGTGAACAGGTCGGGTGAAAAGGGACCCTGCTCTGGGCAACTTACTGAAAATAAAGTAAAGGGTTAAATCAACCACTTAGCTATGTGGCTGATCCAGAAGCTGAATGTGAATCTCTGCTGTATTTAGTAATGTCACACCAATAGATTTTTTCTTTTTAATTATTCCTTTTAATTATTCTCTTAGGATAATGAAAATGCTGGGTCAAGGAATATGCCAACTTTTATCACAGCTCTTGATATGAACTGTCACACTGCTTTCCAAAGAAAATGTACCAATTTCATTACAACCAACAACATGTGGATATAAATTTTACCTAATCTTGCCAGCATTAGATAAAATTTAAAAATATTTAGTAGGGGGGCCAGCCCGGTGACACAAGTGGTTAAGTGCGCGCACTCTGCTGCAGCGGCCTGGGGTCCGCCGGTTCGGATCCCGGGGGCGCACCAATGCACCGCTTGTCAAGCCATGCTGTGGCGGCATCCCATATAAAGTGGAGGAAGATGGGCATGGATGTTAGCCCAGGGCCAGTCTT